GTTCACTTAATGCTTCACCGGGATTGACAACTGAATCATTTGATAACTTGAAAAAAAAAGCAGATGAAGTTCGTCAAAATACCGGATCGAAATTGTTGTGCAATTTAATATTCGATGAAATGAAAATACATCGTCATGCTCAATGGAATGCAGCGACAATGAAATTCGATGGATTCGTAGATGTTGGGCGCCAGTTACCAAATCAAGAGAGCTTGCCCCTCGCAAATGATGCTTTGGTATACATGATAAGTGGCATGGACGAAGATTTCAAAATCCCCATCGCATATTTCTTGACGAACGGATTGGCAAAAGAAGAAAAAGCAGCAATAACAAATGAAATTCTCATCCGTTTAAGTGAAATTGGCATTGAAGTGGTAGCAATCATATTTGATGGTTTGCCTTCCAATCTCGCCATATTGAGAGAGTTTGATAGCGAATATGCAGAAGGCACGCCCTACATAATTGATCCAACGAACAAACATCGCAATATATATATATTGCTAGATGTGGCGCATATGCTGAAGCTATTTCGCAATTGCATTGCATCACGAAATCTTATTGATGCAGATGGTGGCATTATTTCTTGGCAATACATTCGTTTTCTATATGAAGAGCAGAAAAACCTCTCTTGGAACTTAAGCAACAAGCTTACAAAATCTCATATTCTATGGGACAAAAGAAAAATGAACGTGAAGTTGGCAGCTGAAACTCTTAGCGCCAGTGTTGCCGATTCATTAGAATTTATGAAACAAAAAGACGAGAAGTTTAAGGATGTCGACGCCACTGTTAAATATATTCGAATGATCAACGATACTTTCGATATTATGAACTCGACGCTTATTTCAAAAAATGATGAAGGTTTCAAGAGACCAATAACAAGTTCAAATGCTGCTCAATTCTTTCAACGATTCCAAGAAGTCATGCCATACTTAAAAAGTCTCACAGTTGAAGGAGAAAAAAAAACAGTTTTTTTCTCGGCTTCTAAAACGCCATTCATTGGTTTTTATAATAATATGCTTGTTTTTATGCGTATTTATGATGAATACATTGGAACCAGAAAAATTGAAAAAATCATCGCTCATCGCTTTTCCCAAGATTTACTTGAATCGTTTTTCAGTTCAATCCGAACTATGGGAGGTTAGAATTCATTTGTGTCAATTTATAAAATCTTGAAATAATTTATAAAATCTTGAACATTTGACCTCTATTATTCAGGTTGCAACGATAACCCAACTGCGCAACAGTTCGAGGCGGCATATCGTAAACTTCTAATTCATAACGACGTAGTATGTTCGAAAAAGGCCAACATAATTGAACCAGGCACAAAAATATTGACTGTTTCATCATTTCGGAAACCAGTACAGAAGTCAACTGATCAGAACGATGTGGAATTCGATGAATGCTTTGATGATGATTACAATAACAGCTTTCGTGTTGACCAATATGTCGATGACATTCATTGCCATTCTTTGGCCTATATGGCTAGTATCTTGGAAGCCAAAATTATCACAGGCAAACGACGTTTAGTGAAATGTGATGACTGCATCAAAGTGTTTATAGAAAACGAACTGATAGAAGATTCGTTCATTCGTTTTAAGGCACGACAAAATAATATCATGCAGCCATGTAAAAGTACCTTTGCGATCTGTAAGTTTGTAAACACTTACATTAAAAGCTGTGAAGAGAGGTCAGCCAGTTATCAAGAAGTAGTAAATATAATATTAAGAAGAATTCCATTTACAACACTTTATACATCATCAGACTTTGAAGAGCACTCATCAAGGGGCCATAAGTATGATTTGGTGAAAACCATAGTTGAGTTGTATATGCATATGAAATCGGTTCATATTGCCAAATGTTATACACTGGATGTACATGAGGACCCTGTCCGTCATAATCTCAGAAAATTAACTCATGACTTGGGCCAGTAATTTTGGATCGCTTCTCTTTCATTTAAAGATAAATCAAAATTATTTTCTCTCTTAATTTGAATCGCTTTGTGAGCAGTTAAAAAACAATGAAAAAAATTCCTTGAAAATGTTTGAAACTTGACTAATATTTCTAAAACGATCACAAAAAATATTATAATTCCGAATAATTCATATTTAACAAGTTATTATAAGTATCTTCAGAAGATCCGATAAATCGGGATATAAATGATAAAATGTATTGAAATATGCCAAAAATAATAAATAAATAAAAACAACAATTAAGCGTCAACAAAGGTTAAACCCAATTAAGTTCGTTTATTTATTTTATTATAATGCGTATTATCAAAAAATTGATAATGAATAGACGTTTGCAGATAATATATTTTATTCTATTGGATAAAAATATCCGAAAATATCACCAAGTTAAATTTTGGAATAAATTGAAATCGATTGAAGTGAATCAAGGTAAAATCGATAACATGCACAACGCCCTAATGCTCAATTCAATGGAAATCATGAGAGATCAACAGAGATCACTAATTAAAAATAATTCCATTAAATTTAAAAAAAATCTTTCGGAAGTGTAAATACTTTTTTAATCTTATCAACTAAAAATGTGTGAAGAACTTAATTGTTCAGATTCATTGTTTGTTGGGTTCGACATTTTCCTTTTGTCCATCGGTGTCGTTCTTTTCATCGGCCTCCTTTTCTCCGTCGACTTGCTTCTTTCCATCGCTTTCCTTCTTTCCATTTGGTTTGAATTTTTGCAGCATACTGTTTGCCTCGGCCAGCTTCGACTTATAATATTCCTTCTCTTTCATCATCTGGTCCATTTTCTTCTGCAAATTTTCAACGGTTTCCATCGCTTTGGTGCTTAATTTAATCTGTGTTTGAAGCATTTCAGCTTCAGAACTTCCATCATTATTACCGGACTGTTGAGGAACATTTTGACTGGTAGATGCGACTGGCATGTTGATTGGCAATAACTTTGGAAGCTGTTTTTGAACAGCCTTGACTGGATCAATTCCTTTAAAGGTGATCTTTCTTGGTAGCCATGGTACAGAACTGTTGTTGCCATCTGCTTCATAGACACCTGAACAATAAATATGAAAAAATTTAGTATCACAATTACCTGTTAAATAAACAATACGAATGAGTTTAACACCTACCGTCAAATGACTTTGATCGATATTGTCGATTGGCCATTTTTGAAGTTGATGCCACAGGTACAAAATTGTCAACTGAAAATACCAAACATAGCATGATAGATTTAAACAAAAAATAGATTTAAACAAAAATATAAAATGT